AACCCATGCCTGTGAGTGATGGATATGATGCCCAAACACACACAACAAATGTTATTTATACGAAACGTGGCTGGTGATCACCGCCCGACTGCTCATCGCAGGACGGAGACGGACACGGATCGCTATTCCAGCGTGATCGGAATATGAAATGAGGAGCCGCGCATCATGCGCGGCTTCACGCGCCGACTCGCCGTGCACCTGGGCACAAGGGGCAGGGAAACGTGCAGAGCTGCTCACCCCCGCCTGGGACGGAAAGCCAGCCCACCCGCTCGCCGTCGCCCCGCACTTTATTTAAAGAGCACCTTGGCGGAGGGGTCCCCCCCACCAAAGCGAACCACACGCTGCAGCCCTGTGATCCTCCAGCGAAGCGGAGCCCGTTTAAACCAAACCGCCCTCCCCGCCTCCCACGGCGTTTAAAAGGCTGGGAGAAGGAGCTCTCCCCTGCTCCACGACCTACAGCCCCCGTGGCCCTTCCACAGCAGCCCTCATCTTTTCACCCCCCTCCTCCCCATTTGGTTCACCGGCTCATCCCTTAAAGGCAAGTTTATTTACCTCTGCGCCCGGCGGACACGGCTCCTCTTCTCTTTGTATTCCCAGTAAGAAGGCTGCCTTACTTTCAAAGAGGCAATCGACGACGGACGGTTCGGCACTCCAGGTCGGCGTCTCTCTCTCTTTCCACCCCCAGGAGCAGCAGTGTTACCCTCCCTAGTTAGCTAGCTAGCTAGATGAATTGATAGATAGTGCACTTTCTCTCCGCGTTTTTTTTTTTTACAACTCGCTATCAGTTGCCGCAGTAATATTCATGCGGGTCTTTAGGGGGACCACCGAGACGAACGCTCCGTTATATCGCCCAAGGTGCGGGTCCGCGGAGAACCGAGGTGGAATCGGCAGGAAATAAGACACTGAAGCTCCTCTCGGCTCGTCTCCGCTGCCCTCCTCAGCTCTCCTCACCACCGACACACGGAGCAGATATGCTGAGGTCGCGCCGCGATGACGTTAGCTACGTGGCTAGCAACCGCTGTCCTCTGCGGCGCACGCATATGACGTCAATTGCGTTCGCGTTCCAACTTTATTTGCAACCTAATGAAATGTTTTTCTTATCCCCACCTACTGTCGATAAATGTAACTAGTCATTGTGAACGAGGGACTGAATGATGTTTGCCATATGTGTTTCTTGAATGAGGCTGGTACATTGGCTAAGTGGGTATCACTGTGACTTGTCCGTCCATCCATCTATCAATCCATCCATCCATCTATCCATATTCCAACCATTTATCTAGTGCAGGACTATTGGGAGTATTGAGTTTGAATCTGTTTTCTATATTTCTGTGCTTGAAAACTCCAGGTGCCTTTGTTCATGTGCTACTGTATTTAAGTAAACAGGAGTTACCTGCCCTTAGTATGTGAAAGTATGTGTGACTGACATAGTGCTAAGCATGTGGCCTATCTTCTATTCCAGACAAGGCCCTTGAACGCAGTGACTCGGACTGAATCTGTCTGTTTCCTAAACTGGGTTGATGTACATCTGATATACAATCTGATGTTATGTGATCAGTCACAGGGAGTCTACTATTCAGAATGCAACATTTATGGTAAATAGAGTCATAGTGAACTAGCTGATTTGATTAATTTGTTCAAAGTAAGGTAGTTAACTAGCCTTCATGAAAAAATCTGACATAAACCATGAAATTCCATGCATATCTCTCTAAGAAGTTAATATACTTCATTGTTCACCCAAGCAGTTATGCATATACTTTATTGACATTGTCTTCCTATCATATGACGTTTTATGTCTCAACCTGTAGCCATCATAATAAAGCCAAAAGTACTAATAATTATGATAAATGTAGACACTCGTTATTGTCATGCATCCCATTTCTGTGGATTCGTTTCGTGTTTCAAGGGAAAAAAAGTGGTATTTGCTGGGTTTTTTTCTTGATTTTTATGCTCTGTATCTTATTCTGCCAGAGAGAGATCACTAGGCTGCGAAGAATGTGGGTCCAAGGAGCGTGGAATTGAAGGCAGCTTCGTGCCAGTAAATGCTGAGGAATATCCAGGAGAATGATATAAGTATTCTACAGGGAGACATTAAGTCCAGAAATGCATGGAGCCAAACTTGCATCCAGATGTATGTAAACAGGACACCAAACAGAACACTGTTAAAAGTTAAAATAGATATAAAATAAGCAGGTTATTTTTCCATGTCCATTGTTAATTTCTACTGGCCGTGTGTATCTGTGTATTTGTCTGTCTGTGTGTCTGTCACTCTCTATGTCTGTCTGTGTGCATTATTATCAAGACAGATCTGAGCTTAACTATATCAATCACACCTATACCTTTCCTCACTATATGAAACAATAACACATCAGTATAAACTTGGTAACAGAGGATTACCTATATTAGTCTATACTATACAGTACTATATTCAATACAGACCAATAAACTGTCAGAGAGATGGATAACGAAAACAGTCTGGACTACACGCGAAAATATTTTAGGTATATATATAGAGATACTTGTATTGTTCCATGACGGAGGAAACCTTGTAATTTACTGAATTATTAACTTAATTTTTGATTTTGTCAGCTCAGCTTGATATTTTTGGACATGTGGGTAAACGTGTCAGATTCCTTGTGTTCAGAGCACGGCTCGTTTATTCTGTGACTATTGCAAAGAAGCGAGGACATTTACTCGCTCTGCAAATGAAACCCTCTGTCTTTGACCACGGAGCGTCCTCATTGGTTCTGAGAGGTTCTCACACGGTTACGCGCATAACTCGGATTAACGAAAGACCCCAAGCCAGGCGACTCAAACTGTAGCCTGGGGGGCGGGGAGAAGTAAATGGTTTACATCTGTTGCTCCAAGCCAGATCTGCAATTATGCAGCCGAACTTGGCTGTAAAGACATGCACCGATAATTGGCTCGCGCTGTAAAGTTAGCGGAAAATGCTCGACCAGAATCTAAGACAAAAGGTGCGTCGTTACACGCACGACATTGTGTCCAACGCCAAAGAAAAAAATAATAATATAAGTTATAATTATTATTACAATTGCATATACGTATTATAGCTACATACTTCCTGGAGTGTCTCTGTATCCTACTGAGCCTACGATGTTGACCTAATGCCTGTCCCATCACGATAATTAAAATAAAGGATGCATCATATTTAACAAAATTATGTTACAATGGCAAAGTAATGTTGAGATAACATTCTGCGCGCAACTAGCATTTGGCTTGACTGTATTGTGCCTTAATGCTGCGCATGCTGCATGAGGATTATTAAGAGCTGTGAATACTTGCTCGCGGACAGTTCTCCTTCGCTAGTTTGCCGCCAAACGTAGTAAGAGAAGCAGCTTTGGTTTGACGCCGCTGGTGATCGTGCGGTTTCCATGCAAAAGCTCGGCATTAATTATACGGAGGGCCAGTGCAAGACTTGAACATGACAGCGGTAAGTCGTTAAAGGTCAAATGCTTCCATGGACTGCACTCCACCCACGGCTTTCTGGTGCCATCAGTCATACATCAGATTGCTATAGGAACAGGACCAGGTGAGAGATCTACAGATAAAGGGCAGCACCTGGTTTGGCCATGCCCCCATGCACTTCTTTCCTCTTTATGGTGACAACATAAACAGCCATGAGAGATCCTGCAGCAAGGGTGGGTGATTTTTCATCCTTGAGGTCTGCAGACCTACCTGTTCGAGAACGTTCCCAGTGAAAGGTTCAAAGCTGAAAGTTGAGGCGGGTTATCGTAAGTGAATAACTATGCAGAGGCAAAGCCAATGCACATTGCAGGCTGTGGGGATGTTTTTGTTGTGGCTTTGCGGCTGAGACTGGAAGAGTTTTGCAGCGTACCGCGTTAGCATCTCCTTGCACCCAGTCCCTTGCATAACCCTAACCCCACCCCCTCTGACACTCACCATCCTGGCTACATTGGGCGTAGGGCAACATAGCCACAGAGACTCTCAGTGGGCCCCTGTTCTCCGTGAAGTCAGGTGGCAGGCACGGCATTCTGGGAGACAATAGCACAGACCAAATGAAAGCAAGCCGATTGGGTGTGACAGTCACACAGCCCAAGGTTAGGAATGGCATGCTCGTGCTGTGCACCTTTTTCTCACATAAGAGCCTCTGTGTCTGCATAAAGTGAGAGCAATGATTCATATCCCCGTGTCTATCAATTGTTGCAGTGGATCATGTTTTTTGTGTCAATGGGTCAGTTCATCAGGGTGCGTTCATTGTAAGGTGCCTCACAGGATTGCCAGGACAGAGACAAAACTGCCCCACTGCTGTCTCCCTCCTGCATACTCACACGGTGAAGCCAAAGACAAATGCTAGAGAATAATCAGATAAATAATTTATTTGAAGGACAGTCCTGGTATCCTCCTCCCCGCATCAGATCCGAGGTCAAGTGGAAGCCTGGTTTTGTTTAATCTCAATATATACTTTGTATAAACCAGTCCGACCTGAATTCGGTCCGAGGACGGAGAAGAAGACATGAGGAACACCTATGTTTACAGACACTGCTCGCAGTCACTCTAATGGGTGTCAGCGCAGAGAGGGCTGGGCCACCGGCTCCATGGTAACACGTTACACCTGACAAGAGCCCCTTGAGTGTGAGATATGGCAGGGAATGAGCGGTTAGCGGCCTGTATAATGAGAACCTGTGGAAAAAAGCACCGCCACGCTCCTGTCTGAGAGCAGGCGAAGGGCCAGCGTGGCGGCCCTTATCCATCTGCTGACGAAAACGGAGCTTAACTGTCACGGCAGTGGGAAATGATTGCTGATGTGTATGGTTGCCGCTAGGCATACTTTTTAGGCAAAGACGTCACGTTTCATATCAGGCTGGATTCCACTTCAGTGCTTCTTATTACTAGGGACTCAGACGGTGGAGGGGGAGGGGGCAGGGTGTCTGAGTCTATCACCCATGGAATTCTGTATATGCAATACTTGGAAAGCACACCGGTTCAGTTTCTGTGTACACTTGAGGGATGAGGCGTGCTGGGAGGACTTGAAGATACGGCTTTATTAAAAAATAGGGCTGCTCAAACAACTCTGAACACTTGCTGTTTTTATACTCCCCAGGGAAAAGCTATTACCTGGGACAAAAGAAAGAAGAAGAAAAAATCACACTTTACCATGGTAACACTTTCCAGAAACAATTCAGGCGAACACATCTGACACAGATGGGCAGTTTTAGGGAATCTATATGACAGGCTTCTTCATCAGGTTCAGAGACAACGTGGAACATTGCCTTGCATCTGTAGTTCACAGATGCAACTGTTATGATGGCACACTGAAGGAAGAGTAATGATCTTGGTGATTTTTTTCTCTCCAGAATCCTGTACATACCTAGCTGGGATCAAAGTAATATTGACCCTATTCATTATGTCATATAGCCCCTAATGGTATGCATTGCCTTGGAGGATCCCTGTCCCCGCGCCCATTTTCTGATCTTATGAGCTCTATTATGACCTAATGATGCACAGCTGAGGCCAAGGAGACGTAAGGGATCTGGGCGGGGGGGGTTCGGGGCAGGGACGTTAGTCGCTAACTGCCAGACTCACGTGACACAGAGACGTGGGACGGGACATTGGACACCCGGCGAAAAGATGGGTCGTCCAGGTAGAAAGACAGCCAGATATGTTCGCCAACCTTTCGTTTACGAGCCGTCCAGCAGATTTGGATGTGACCTGCATTTTTACACTGTTCGCTCACGGCCTAGCTGTTCCGAAAAAAAAACCCACGTCTCATCAAATTTCATGAGTAGCATAATGTTATAGCACCAAATTAATTATTACGTATGAAAACAAGCTATTACAATAACAAAAATATAAAGCTTTTGTTTGAAGAGTTTAATTTACAAAATGCAAAAACAGATAAAAGCTTAGGCAGAGCGGCAAAAAGGTAAAATACCTAATTTAATACATTTATAAATATATGCGACTGAAAAAACATTAAGGGTTTTTCTCGTACTTAGAGGCAAGGTTACAAACTCTCATCTCCCCCAAATCCGGTAACCGGTAAAGGTGATATACTGCCGACGGTACAGCATTGCATTCATGATCAACGTCGGCATGCTTCTGTGAGGACGAGGCTGGAATGCTCACCGCACATGCGCACATCGCACCGCTAAAACCGGCGCACGTTATCTCCGCGGGGAGTTACATTTGCTAATGTATATCCGACCCACGTGACAAATCACTGTTTTCCCCAACCCATCTTCCTATATTACTAAGATATTTTTTATTATCCTGTTTATATCAAAAAGACACGTGGAATGGTACTTAGAAGTTGGCAGCACAGAAAACAGGAGAGCGGCACACGGAGTTACCACCCGTCCACTATTTTCTTCTCCTGAAGGTTGAATGGCGAAGACATTTAAAAGAATTGTAAGTAATGAAAAGCGCATACACACACCCACACGCCCATCCGACAGCGGCCAGGTCCCTGTACAAACGCTATCCAAGAATACGACATATCCAGTACCACAGGAAACATCATGTCCGACCATTCCCTGTGCAGGTTCCGGAGTAAAGAATAAAAACCAGAGGAAAAAATGTCCCCCCCCCCCGCCTTTTCCGCGGCAAAATCCTTTTATGAGAATCTACTTAAGTTTTATAACTGAATGTTTTTATGAACGGAAATAGATGTATTACCTAATGTCCACTGTTTTGTTATGATGTGTTCGTACACGAATATACTAATAAAACAGGAAGTAAAGTGATTATGATAAAGACTTTTAACGAGACTTTCCATTTGCTTTCATTTACTATAGCACGATGCTCTTTGTGGTACCAGTCAGCCAATGAGAAAAGTAATCCATGGTAATCTGCAGTCCGCAGGCCATTGTTGTGGTGGCAGAAGGATTCAGGATGGCGTGATGTCTGTCCAGTCCAAATGGGGCAGCATAAGGAGTCTCCACTGCACTCTCATGGGGCCCTGCGATGGACAGCGGAGTGTCAGTACCTTAGCAGGCAGGGTAGCTGCAGGTGTCTCTGCAGGGGGCTGTGTGGACAGAGAGTGAGAGCATCTTGTGGAACCGCTTACAGCCATGCATAGATTTCATGTGGGACATGCTGCTCTGTCCCTCAGTACATGTCATCCAACAGAAGGCCTACGCCTCTTGCTGACATCTATGAGAGGGGCGTGGCTAAAGATGGGACACACCAGAGAAATCTATGAGAGGGGAGGAGCCAAAGATGGGACAACGCAAGGAAAGCTAAGAGAGGGGTGGATCTAAAGATGGGACACTGCAGGGGTGTTTAAGAGAGGCACAGAGCTAAGGATACGGCACCATCCCCCAAAACGCTCCGCGAAACACACGCATATTCAAACAGACATCACTGAACACAAGGCCAGTGCCCAGGGCTCAGGTCAGCACCCAGAGCCTGCGGTCATGAGCAGAGCAGTGGTCGTGTCAGGCAGCAGTGGGGTCATGTGTCCACCCACGGACAATCGGGCCAGTTTTTCAGGACACTGTGCATCTCGCACAATCTGCTGTTTCTTTTCTGGTTCCGTCGCCACAAAGCTTGCTGAATGCGTCTGTGTCGGTGGACGGGCAGCGTTATGCCAAAGCCTGTACAGATGTACCTCTAACACCCTCAAAACTGCACCATACAGACCAAACGCTTCCCAGCACTGAGCGAGGATTACGGTGCCAAAGCCTAAACTCCAATACATGAATAAATCTGCCTTTTAGACACACTTGCGACAGCTACCAGAAGGGTAAGAATGATCCCTTTGTCAACATTTGGCCAAGTTAACAAAGGAAATATTAAGAGAATAATGAATGCTTAGGAAACCAAGGGGGGTACCTTTAATCTTCATGACTGAAAATATTACTCACTCAGTTACTCGGTTCAATGCATTTACAAATAGCCTTATGGCCTTTGCTGTGACACCTGTATAGATGTTCCTCCTGCAGTGTGATCAGTGGAACAGGTCCCTGTCCACCAACCCCCCCCC